TACAACCATAGTAACAAACTATTAATTTAATACATTATACAAACAATTCTATACAAAATTACTTAAAACAAAAATATAATTCAAAATATATATTTAGGATACATTTTAAGTACATTTCGTTGAAATTCAATGCATTAATCGTTTTCTATTGTGAGTGAAAACTAATGATAATATATAGAAAAGGAATAATTTATTTGCAAAAATACATTTTCTGACTTCAATCGGCTTTTATTCAACCGTTAAATACTGTTTTGTTTCTTACATATTAAGTATTTAAAGAATATTCAACGAGTTGATTGTCTTTCTTTACATATATCAATGAATAATTTATTTCTGTTTGAATTAATTATAACTTAATTATAATATAAACGGAAACTATTATTCTTTTAGTGTGAATACATTGCATAATAAATCTTATAAGTTATAACAGAACAAAAACTATAGATTATTCACAATATGTATTTACAGACACAAATAGTCCACCCCTTCCGTCTCTATTGTAAGCACATGTCTAATGAATAAATATAAGCACTTTTTAACAATTAATGTAAAATATAGAAATTCAAAATATAAGTGAATAACATTTAAAAACAAACTAAAAAACAGGCGAATCTTTTACATACGACCCGTCGATCAAAGGTCCCATCAAAAACAGGAGTTGCACTGATATCCTCTTCTTAATTGCTTTCATCGCTTTTATCGTCGGTTGGATAGTAATTGCTATTTTGGGTACAATTTATACAAATTTAAATCTATAATTATTGTAAAAACAAATTTAAAATTGTGTACAATTTTAATATAAGGCTTTATTAATGGAAATCCCGAACAATTAATATTCCCAACCGATACATATGGTGGCATATGTGGGCGCGGAGAGCATAAGTTATTACTAATATTTTATTGAATTGTATTACATGTATTAAATTTAATATTTTTGTTTAGAGATAAGCCTTATTTATTTTTCTTCAATTTGTTGAAATGCACTAAAAAGCTCGACAAAAATATTTTCGACCGATGCGATACACCCCAGGTTTGGATATGTTAACAATCAGCAGATGAAACAATCATATAATTTTAACGCATAACTTGTGAATAGGTGTGTGTCTCTCACTGTCCGAACCAAACATTTTCATTATTTCAAGTGAGAGATCTGAGCGCCGATTATCAGAAGTCAATGATTTGCAAATATAACTCAGAGATTCCGAGAAATGATAACTTTCATCGACTCATACGAGAAGACAAATGCGCCGGAATTTACTTTAAGAGCGAACCGTTTGGCGGCCGATGTATACCATCGCTGCTCTCAATGTACGGCAAGGATGTGATCGACGAGAAGAATACGGGAAAGATGTTAATGGATAATAAAAATGCTGTCATCGATTTGGATATCATTAAACAAACAAATCAGTATATATTTGACTTTAAAATGTTGAATTACTAAAGAGTTAATAACATTTCTTTATTAGAGCTATTGTTTTACTACTAAACGCGAGAGAAATCGGCACAAAAATAATTCATGATTTGGACCAAACTTTTAAATGGATTATCATGTATGTTATTTTTAAATTGAAAATCAATTATGTAGCTAACAAGTGTCTATTGATTGGGACAGGGGTTTGGCGCTGGCAATGGTCATATCGTTTGCATGGATTCTGTGTATGCAATGGTTCGCTCAATCCATGATCTGGTTCTCTATATTAGCGGTTGTGATCCTTAACTCCTATGGACTCTATTATTCTCTCAATCGCTATAATATATTGTCAGTCAATACGNTCAGCAATTGTTGCACAAAAATATGATTTCCGGAAATCAATGGACACAGATTTGGATTCATACCTAACAAATCAAAAGACTTGGTTTGCATTCACCATAATCTGCGCTATAGTCCTATTTGTCTTAATATTAGTGTTACTATATCTGCGAAAGCGGATTAAATTAGCCATTGCTTTGATCGAAGAAGCGAGTCGGTGAGTTTGATCTCTTTGGTCCATATTTGTAATGTAATTTAATTAAATTTTTTTTAACAATTAAGGGCCGTCTCTTGTGTCAAATCGTCGCTATTCTTTCCCATTGTTCCCTATATAATGCAATTAATGGTAATTTGTTTTTGGGGTTCAGTGGCTATTTTGATAACAGCATCGGCACGACCTAAATATCATGATCCGCACACTGGTCAGGAATGTACTCCTCATAATGTATGGAAGTTATTGTTTATCACTATAATTTAACCCTTTATTACTTTATACACAACGTTTTTATATTAACATCTTCATTCATAGTCGGATCAGACGAGTAGCTCAACTAATAATACACAGAAATGTATTTTTGCAAAATATTACGAGGACAACGTTATATTTGCGGCTCAAGTATACAATCTATTTGGTCTTCTGTGGGGCCTATTCTTTATAGTAGGAGTCGGTATGTGTTGTTGTATTTATTATTACCATCGACAATTTAAAATAAATCTAAATTACAACATTTTATAAATATAATTAATTAATTTTTTTGATTAAATTTGGTAATTAATATTTGTAATTTAAATTAATAATATGTAAAATTAATTTTAAAAAACTCGTATTGTTATCAAATGTAAGGTCAAGTGAGTCTTGCGGGTGCTTTTGCCTCGTATTACTGGGTATTCAAAAAACCCGAAGGAGTGCCATATTTTGCCGTTTTTGGTGGCTTTTATCGCTGTTTACGGTATATGTTATCTTCAATCACTGTTTAGTGCATTAATGTAATTAACAAATATTATTCATAACAGATATCATTCCGGTTCTGTTGCATTCGGATCACTACTTATAGCAACGGTTCGCTTCATTAGAATAGTCATTGAATATATCGATAAAAAGTGCAAAAAATATGCCAATAATTTCTTCGCAAAAGCGATTATGTGGTAAATAAACAAATTAACATTTACTGTAATGCAAATGATATAATAATTGCTAATTTTGTGAATAATAAGCTGTTGTCGGTGTTTCTTTTGGTTATTGGAGTCGTTTATGAAATTCATTAATAAAAACGCATACATAATGATCGCGATCTATGGTAAAGGCTTTTGCACATCAGCCTCCAATGGATTTTACCTCATATTTAGAAATGCCACCAGGTTTATAACCACCATAGAGTACTTATGAAACTAATGTTAACTATATTCTTTATAATTTGCCAAACTTTTAGAGCTGTAGTGTTGGACAAAGTGACAGATCTATTGCTAATAATAGGCAAACTGACGGTCACATCGATGGTTGCCGTCCTATCTTTCTATGTGTTCACTCAA